TGAAAGAGCTAAGAGCTGCTCATTTTCAATGGTAGCAACATCGATCTGGTTGTTAGCATAGTAGCGCAGTAGTTATCAGCAGTGAAATTCATGAACTGCTGAGATAAGATGGTAATGCTTTTAAATGTATTGATGCCGGGAATATTTGGACATCATCCACATGTAGCCTGGATGTTATGAATGAATGTGCTGAACATTTGGACTCCATCTTTATATGTTGTGATGAAATTACTATATGGACAATCCATATTTTAATATGCTGTTGCTATTGTTTCCAAATAATTATTGTATCCAATTTGCTGCATGGGTAAGTGTATATTATTCTGTCGGTGGTCTGTTAACACCTGACAGAAAATTACAATTTTTCTGTGCGTTCACTTAACCCGACAGAAAAATACAATTTTTCCGTGAGTGCACCTCTGCAACTCTGACGGGACAACACTAACAGAAAAATGATTTTTCTGTCGGTTTTTTTTTCTGTGAGGAATAATGCACAAAAATTTTATTTTTAATCTGGCCGATCATAATTTTTCTGCGTGTGTAAGACCGTCAGAAAAATTATTTCTGACGGCGAACACACAGAACAATTGAATTTTTCTGTCATTCTATTTTTGTGTGTATTTTTCTGAGGGCACACCGTCAGAAAAATATTTTTCTGACGGTATTCGTATTTTTCTATGTGTTTTCATACACATAGAAGTATTCGAGTTTCCAGTAGTGAACTGTGAGACATGATAAGTTAAATAATGTATGTGATTGATGGATGATCCCTGAACTGATCTTTTTATCGGCGTTGTTTGCCGTCGTCTTATAAAGTCCTTGTTACATTATGTGTTGTGTCGTGCATGTCCCTCTCGCCCTTCAATTTTCAGCCACTTTTTTGTTGTTTACTTATTTTTTGATGATCAATCTAATAACTATCGTAGCATCAATCATGATAACGTTTGATCCATCACCTAGAGCCTAGAGGAAACTACAAAAAATGATATTGATATGACGCAATTATTTAATTTAATTTAATTTGCTCCTTCGGCGGAAGTTGCGTGGTTCATCCTAAGTCCTGTTCGCTTCGCTGAAAAGCCAGATTAAAAAGTATTGTTCACTGATTTGTTGTGAGAGAAAAATATTATACCATGACTGATAAGTTCAAACGAACAGCGAGCTACTATTTTTTACGTGGTTGACTTCAGCTCGCTCTGTTTATCTGGTCAATCAACACGATAGTTTTGTTTGTGCAGGCCATAAAACTGGTCAACCACACACATGCAAAATTTGTGCACTTCCGTTTGAGGGCGCGTACGTACTAGAGAATCCTGTATTTGCTTCCTATTTTTGTTGTCTCTCTTAGCTGAACGTTGTTGATAAAAGTCGCTATCACGTCTCGGACTCACATGAAACAGCTCCCATCACTAGTAGAGAATAGACCTTTTCATCCAATGTTAAAATAGGCTCTAGTCCCGGTATTTTTTGTGTCCGGAACTAGAAAGACCTTTAGTCCTGGTTGGTGCCTCCAACCGGGACTAAAGGTCCCTGCCTAACGGCTACTGCGCTCGGCACAGTGGCAGATGACCTTTACTCTCGGTTGGAGACACCAACCGGAACTAAAGGTGGACCTTTACTCCCGGTTAGAGCCACCAACCGGGACTAAAGGTCTCCCGATGGGTTAGTTCAAAAGGGAAGCATCCCATCCATTATTAGATGTGTTGTGTAGGTGGGGTGGTAAGCTACGCGCAAGGCAATGCATGGAGTCTTGGGTTCGAATCTCACGGGACGCAGCGGTGGGAGGCATTATTTTTTTTAAAGCTGGGAGGACCTTTAGTCCCGGTTGATGTTACCCACCGAGAGTCCCTACTCCCGGGTGGAAAATCGGGACTAGAGGGGTTCCTCACCGGGAGTAAAGCTCTGTTCTCTACCAGTGCATGCACGTATTCGTGCACCGTGCACGGTAACTACAGTGGGAACGCATGTTTCACCAATTTCCATACCTACGTGCATAATTTCCAAACTCACCAAACCTCGATTAGCAATTTGGCATCCAGCTTCCGGCCGGTTTATATATATAATATCATGATCATGATCAAAACAGCCTCGTACCTCCATGCACGTCCCAGGAAACCTCCCGGACGAGTAAACAAACGTTTCCATGCACCATTACCCACCTAACGAAACATCATCGTATCGGCACCACTGCTGATGCGTACCCGACCTATATAAAATAATAATACTGGTAACCACTGAACATGCGGCCTGTTTCTTTGACTTATAAGTCCGTACGTTTTTAGTTAATAAATAATATTTTTATCTCACAGTAAATCAGTCCACAGTACTTTCAACTCTAACTTAGCAACCAAACGAACAGGCACGTGCATCAAGCGATTGTACTTAGCGGCAAAGCACACCCCCGGTTCCGTTGTCGAATACGGAGTAGTATGCTATACTACTGCTACTAATAATAGGACGCACCAAACAGCGCCCAGGTTCATTGCATTCGTACTGCACAAGCTTTGAGCGCGTCTTTTGGGGTTGGGTGAGTAGCGCCTTGACCTTGACCTGGTGAGCTGCTTGCTTGCCTGCAGATGTCGCGTTTGACTTGGCTTGCATGCGGCGCGGCGCAGCTTCGAGCCTCCGGGGAGGAGTTGGGCAGTTGGCCCAGCACGTAGTCCGATATGATGATATATACGAGTATGATCCTACTGCGTGGATACTGGATACAGTACAACCCAAAAAAATATTCTCTGTTGTTTTCCATTTCAAACTACTACTGACCTTGACCATTGACCATGCCCCTGCATTATTTTACACGGCGCCGCGCCTCATGACATACTACGAGGAATATAGCCAAAAAATCTTCACTGGTGCAGCCCGATACTACTGCAAATCTATATTTCGAATCCATCAAGTCAATTGCTTCACCACTACTCCAGCGTGTTAAGCAGTCGACTGCATTAATTCCGAATCGTATGTTTCTTCGAAAAGATGCGCTGTTCGCTTGGCTGATAAGTGCATGGCTGAAAGTACCGTTGGCTGATTTGTTGGTTGATTTATTGTGAGAGAAAAATACTGTTCGCTGGCTGAAAAAGTACGACTTATAAACCAAACGAAAAGAGCAAATCTATACTACAGTATGTCTGCATCTTGGTCGCTTGTCCGGGCATTCCGCCACACAGGCAGGCGTACAGGCACGGCGGGTGCCCGGGCCATTTTGCCCGCTGCCAACTTGACATCCCCTGTTCCCCTCTCTATACAGCCATGATAGGATACCACATGTTTTGCTTCTAGAAGGTCGTCAGCGTGTTGGCCAGAAAGCGAGAGTGAGCTCGGGCATCGCTCTCGCATTAATTAAAACTGCGGATATGGCCATGCAGCGTGTTGGCCAGAAATCGAGATTGATTCGGTATGTGCTGACACGGGACGAGAGGGACATGTGCCTGTGCGTGCTCGGATCCAGAAGACGCTGAAAGGAATCGATCGTGGCCTGAAAACCAAACCAGCAGTTGATACTATGTGTATTCTGATGATGGAAATTTGACATTATCTGCAGAAAGGCAGAACATGACATTAAACGCTTTCGCTTTGGCAGTACGTATATATATCAGGAATTCAGGGTTGATGGATGGAACCTGTAGCTAGTTGTCAATGATACTTTCATCATGTGATATTAACAATTTAACACTCTCCCACTGTCTGACCATATCATGAAACGCGTGCCATAGAATTGCTATGCAAAAATGTAGAAATCACACATCTCACAACCGCAATTTTTGCTCGTAATGCGGCATATTTTGAAGGGAAGAGTCCCATTGAGATTTTATGTCATGCGAGAGCGCTAATGAGATTTTGGACAGGACTATATGCTGAAGTGGACAGAGAAATGCTTATCAATGGGGTCAACACCATGCTTCGGGAGGCTGCAAGACTAATCCTCACCAAAAACACTGCAGAAGGACAGAAGCGCCTGAAGCTTGGAGGTGATGATGAAGCGACGAACCTGTGAAGATTGCGGGATGCAGAAGCGGTCTGGCGTCTCATTTTGCTCTGATATACGCTGGGTTTTGTGACCTTTTCTTTTGGTATGTTGAAGATTGAACTGTAATAAATTTCCCTTTTTTACCTGGTAGTGGTTGTTGGAACTGTCATGCTGGTGTTTTGGTCTGGTGAAGATTGGACTGTAATAAGTTTCCCTTTTTTACCTGGTAGTGGTTGTTGGAACTGTCATGTTGGTCTTTTGGTCTGGTGAAGATTGAACTGTAATAAGTTTCCCTTTTTTACCTGGTAGTGGCTGTTGGAACTGTCATGCTGGTCTCTTATCTCCTTTAGCCATCTGACTCTGAGATAGAGTTTGGGCTAGGAGCTCATATGTTATGTAATCTTTCTCTTCTTAACCGTACTCATGTATTTTCGTTTATCTTTAAATGAAAATGGGGGATGACCTTCGCGTGGAAGAAAAAAACAACTGCAATTTTATCTGACCAAAGTCAACCGTAGTCTCTTGCCATTATCTCTCACTCTTCGAAAAATACATAGAACCACTCCTTGTACTGTTGTACAGGCGCCTCACGAGACACGGAGTTTTTTTTTTTTTATAGAGGAACGAGATACGGAGTTACGGACCATATGGCCAACGCTTCCTTCTAAGCCCAAACACGAGCGGAACGGCTACGCGTCTCCATTCTCCAAGGCGTAAGGCCCATGTAAAGACCCATCCTTAAGGCCCACGTAGAAATAGCCGAGTCGCAGTCGCAGGACCCTGCTTTCGCTGACTCGCTGTCGTGGCTTTCTGACATGACGGCCCCATAGCAAGCGGCCCACATGTCAGAAATTCACGACAGATGGAAGTGACTCATCCCCCACTTCATCGTCGCCTTTCCACTCGCAGTCGCGGGAGCTCGTCGTCTCTTATCGCCAGCCACCCGAGAGGCGGAGATTGCGTGGCAGGCGAACTAAACCCTACCGGCCTACCCCCAACTGCCATTCGTCGCGGGTCCATGGGGCCCTCGCCCATGGCGGCGCGGGCAGCGGGTGGCTGCTCCTCGGCGGCGCTCGCCTTCTTCCGTCTCCACCCGCTCCGACGCGCCGTCCGCCCAGCCGCCGCTTTTGCTGGAGGGTGCTCCTCTGGCCTCTACGGCGGCTGCCGGAGCCGCCTGGCGCATAGTATTGTGGACTCCGTTCTGGATGAGCTCCGCTCCCGCCGGCTCGTCAGGGTATCGGCAAAGTAATTCGCCCTACACATTTAAGGCTCTCCATATATCGCTGGTACCATATTTGGAGCCACTGCATCGCTTGAGCTGCATGCATGCGTGTGCTTGTGCGCTAGATACTGACTTCTGCTGAACTAATATTTATGATAATAGTAGCATTGATCCTTATTAAACTGTGAATGCTTTATTTGAACACTGAAACAGTTAAACTAACTTAGGCGAGGCAATGCTTGAACCCCTGAATTTCTGTCAGTAAAAAGTCAATGTAACCACCCAACTATTCGGGGTGGACTACTTCGTCCCTCAAACTATAAAACCGGATTTTCTACCCCCGGACTTTCCAAAACCGGTCAAATAACCCCCGAGCGGTTTTGGACAGTGGTTTTGCTACAGTGACAGTGGTTTTGTCTTTTTCTTTTTTATTTATTTCCGCTGAATCTTTGAAAAATCATAGTAAATCACAGAAAAATCAAAATCGTAAAATGGAAAACCCAATTTTGTTTGACTCTACATGAGTAGATCTACACAGTGAACATATAATATGGTATGCTTTAGTATAAAGTTTTTGTTGTAGCTTTAGATCTATGTTTTTCTGTAATTAATTAGAATAATTCATAGCTGTAGCTTCTATGGTCCAATTGTGGCGAAATTTTAAAGGTGAGATAATTATTGTATGCTTGAACTATAGTAAAAATTTCATACTCATTAGATCATGTATAACTTAGTTATAGATAAAGCATATATTTAACAAGCATAAACCTAAATAAATCTATAACTAAGTTATACATAATCCAATGAGTATGAAATCTTTACTACAGTTCAAACATACAATAATTAGCGCACCTTAAAAATTTCACCAGGACCATAGAAGCTGCAGCTATGAATTATTCCAATTAATTAAAAAAAGCATAGATCTAAAGCTACAGCAAAAACTTTATACTAAAGCATACCATATTATATGTTCACTGTATAGATCTACTCATGTAGAGTCAAACAAAATTGGGTTTTCCATTTTACGATTTTGATTTTTCTGTGATTTACTATGATTTTTCAAAGATTCAGCGGAAATAAATAAAAAAGAAAAAGACAAAACCACTGTCACTGTAGCAAAACCACCGTCCAAAACCGCTCGGGGGTTATTTGACCGGTTTTGAAAAGTCCGGGGGTAGAAAATCCGGTTTTATAGTTTGGGGGGTAAAATAGTCCACCATGAATAGTTGGGGGGGTTATTTAGACTTTTCCATTTCTGTTAGGACATTTGACCTTATGCATTATGAGTGGCGGCACATTTGAACACTGAAACAGTTAAACTAATTTAGGTGGGGCAATGGTTGAACCCCTGAATTTCTGTCAGGACATTTGACCTTATGCATTATGAGTGGCTGCACACTCAAACTCCTGATTTTCCCCCTCCGTTGGTGCATGAGGAACTTGTGGTTAACTATTGCATCATAACAGGACTACTCTTGGGGTTTCTTCAAAAATTTATGCAATGGGCATTATCATTTCTACAATTATGTCCATGACAGAATTCCAGAAAGCATATAACGATGCATGTTAGTAGCTGGGCTTATAATGAGGTAATTTAGGCCAGTCTCAGCGGGAGTTTTACCCAAGTTTCATCTGCATTTAATAGGTTGCCACATAAGCATTTCTAACGGCATGGCAATGTTTTTAGAAGAGAGAAGAATTGAGTTTAATGTAGATGAAACTCTCTTGGCTCGGTTTCTGACTCTAAATGAGTATGTAACAATAGAATGAAACCATGCATCGGGGGTGGTTGTTTCATCCATATTTCATTGCATTATATCTGACATGGCATTCTTGGAAACAACATTACGAAACTCTCCACTAGAATGGCTTGAGCCAGTTAATCCAATATCACTGCCATTTTATGTGGGTAATATACCATGATGCTGCCCATGACATGGTGTTTTCTCCTCTTCTTACTTTCATTCTGCAAGATGTTTATTGTAATTTCTGAAATGATTCATATGACTATTAAAATTTGTTATCACTATTTCATTTTTCTTCTAACAATAAAAGCTCACTGAAACTTACTGTTATAATTTCTTGTTCTACTTCAGGATAGGATTGCAGGGCACAAAGGAATTGCCTGACAATAAGATAGACAAGAGAACATTACAGAAAGGATTGCTGCTTGAATTTCAGAAAGATTCCGAGAGATCTTTGCTTGCTGTTGTTGAAAGGCCTGATGGAAAGAAAAACTGGATGGTGACTGATCAGGTCCTTTTTGAAGCTATAACTTGTCCAGTAAACTATCCAGTTTAGTTAATATATACCTGAACATACATGTATTATTGTTGTTCTTATGGATTCTCTAGTGACATGACTTTTACTTTTGTACAGAATGGTATCTTGTCTTCGATAAAGCCCCAGCAGGTTATCATGAATTTTGACTATTCAAGAATAGATGAGTTTCTTGAGAAAATGCAAGATCTTTTGGTAAGTACTGCTGCATGAGCTGTACTTGTGTATAATGTGCTTCAGGATGATAATATTATCTATTAACAGGACCCAACTGTTTTGGAATGTGCTTGGATGGAGCTGTCTGAGAAGGATAAATCAATAACAGTTGAGGAATTTGCAGAGGTCAGAGGTTCTCCAAATTTTTCTGATTTCCTAATTTTTTCCTTTCCTACTCATATTTGGTTCTTGTGATGCCCTCAGATAGTGTATGGTACCAAGGAGTCTCTGGAAAGCTACTGTGCACATCTCTTGTTGTCATTTGTCAAGGGACGTAGTATATTTTGTCAAGGTAGAGAGCAGAGATTACTCCATGTACCAACCTCGTTCACCTACTCAGGTATATTTTCTAAATATATGTGTGACCATCATGTTAATATTTTAGATGATTTTGGCAAGTAAGATGGCACATCTTTTATTGTAGCATCATCTCAGGGGGCTGTGTCTAGTTGATCTTGTGATAACTTGAGTTTTATGTCCGTGGGGCCACCTGTAGTGCAGTCAATTCTATACTAACTTTAATTCTTCCTAGAAGAAACATATTTCGAGGCCATACATTTGTTTTCATCTTATTCGGCTGGCTTCACAATTGAGTGCTATCTACTATGTAACGTCCAGTATTGTAATCTGGCATGTTTCTTTACATACATATTTTGACATGTATATTTAATGACTGCAGATTTCCTTAAATTACTCTTATTGCTTAATGTCTACATTGTTGCATTGGTTGGTAGACTTATTTTCTTTTATCTGGTAGTAGGTAGAGGAACTCCTACGACGGAAGCTTGCTAAAGAGGCAGCTGAGAAGGAACTGGAAGAATTTGTCCACTTACTCAAGTCTGCCAAAGAATTGCCTGTGGAGTCCAAGCCTCCTAAAACTTCATGGTTGGTGGAAGAAAAAGTCAGGCAAAAAATTGAGGCTCTTCAAGCATACGCAGTTGATGCATGTGACGATGAACAAAGAAGACTAGCAGGAAATGTAATACATCAGATCCCACTATCTTTTTTTTACCATATTCAATATCGTATATAAGTATTCAATTTGCTTACAATACGATGGTCTGTTGAATGTCCAGAAACGAGAAACCTAATTTATAATAAAATTATCTTAATGAGTATTAATTTGTTCATAAAAGTCTGTAGTCTAAACAATTTTTAATTTATACGTAGTACCATTCTTTATTGAATGGAGTTGTTAAGTTTTCCATCTTTTGTTGTTTGTGAAATTGGTCTTTTATGTCGTGGCAGATTCTCAAAGCTATGGGATTCACGAGGACATCATCAGCTGCTCTAAAGCTCCTTATAAATGTTGGATACTTCCCTGTGCATATCAATCTCGACCTTTTCAGGTACGATGTCCGTATAAGGTACACGGATGAAGTTTTGTCAGCTGCAGAGGAGCTTCTGGTGGACAGCCCTGATGCAGACATGGTATAGTTAGTTACTACTGGATGCTTCCACTCTATATATATGCACACGTACATTTCCTCATTTTGATGTTTTTATCTTTTCAGCGTATCAGGAAGGATCTTTCAACTTTGAAAGTGTATGCCATTGATGTGGATGAGGCTGATGAAGTATGTTTTTATTTCTTCTACCATAGCATGTATCCACAGAGAATGAATTGTTAGTTACCACCAATAAATCTATTAAAAATTTGGAATTCTTGGTGACTCAGCTTGATGATGCATTGAGCGCAACTAGGCTTCCTGATGGTAGGATAAAGGTCTGGATACATGTTGCTGAACCAACATGCTTGGTCAAACCTCGTAGCATCATTGATAGGTCATTGCTGCTCTTCTGTTCTATCCTTTCTATCACTGCATTTTGTATTTGTTACAAAACCATGTCTCTTGTCGACAGGGAGGCAATGCACAGAGGAACCTCAATCTTTCTACCAACTGCTACCATTCCGATGTTCCCAGAGAGGCTTGCCATGAATGCTATGAGCTTGCAGCAGGGTTTTCCACATAACAACCCCTCCCCTCCTTGCTGATTTCTGAGTCAGTTCTTTTCTTTATTATTGCCTTGAGATCGGCTTTTCTTTGTTTTTTAAAAGGAATTTCCTAAGAGTGTATCACATTCATTGACATTCCACATTCCATTTGTGCTGTGAATAGTATTGCAGAATATACTCTAGAGAATTCAGTCATCAAACCTACCTATATGTTGACATATGAGAGTGCAACTGAATTGCTTTACATGAACCTGGAAGAAGAGGAAGAACTAAGGATTCTTCAAGAAGCTGCTTCCATTCGTGCACAGTGGCGTCATAGCCAGGTATGTGCAAAATCGGCTTTTCTACTGATCTATAATGCATCATTGCACGGTCACTTATGGCATGCAAATGAAAGCACCACTCAATGTACGTATAAATCTTGGAACGATAACACAGACAATCCCTTGACATGTTTCTTGGGGAAAACAAACCAAATTTTACTTTTACACATTTCAACAGCTGACAATAAGGTATATTAGAAAGTAGATTCCTAAAATTTGCTGGATATTTTCCATTGTCCATCGGCGGTATTTATTTTCTTATTTTGGTTCTCAATTCAGCCTGTAATGCCACTTTTGTCAAAAGTTTGTATTTCTGGATGTAAGACATAATCTGCTGCTGATCTCTCTCTCTTTCCCTGTAGCAGAGTTGGCATTTTTGGTCAGCTCATTGCTCTCCTTGGCCCTGTTCAAGTATGGCAATAGGCCATCACTTGTACCAGGTTGTACCTTAGGTAGTAGTGGCTTAGCTCAGCCATACCTTAGTTGTTGAGGCTGATTTCAGCCATGTCCTAGAGGACATTGTAGTAGGTGTACTAGTGTACCTTAGGAGGTACCAGTAGCTTGTATATATACTACCTCTATGCAGTGGAAAAGGGCAGTTCAGTTGCCACAAACCAGAAGCAGAGCTTTAGCCAGGGCTGGTGCTTGTGCTGTGTGTGTTCCTGAGCTCAACCCCTTCTTCTACCTCTAACCAAGTGAGTTGAGTGTGCTGGTAAGCTTGTTGCTTACCTGTGCAGGGCAGCAAGGGACCAACACTGGAAACCGCTTGTTGCATTTTGTTTCCCCTAAAGTTTACTTTTAGGCCTGCAGGGTTCAATAGATACTGCGATGATAGAGCCACGTATCAAGGTGTCAAATCCTGATGATCCTGAACCAAATATCAATCTATATGTTGAAGATCAAGCCAATCCAGCAATGCAGCTTGTATCTGAAATGATGTTACTTTGTGGCGAGGCAGTGGCTGCTTTTGGTTCTGACAACCACCTCCCTTTGCCATATAGAGGTCACCCCCAGTCCAACACAGCAATGTCAGTGTTCTCTCATCTACCTGAGGGGCCTGCAAGGAGCTTTGCCAATATCAGTGTGCTCCGTGCTGCAGAAATGGATTTTCAAAAACCTGTACCACATGGTGTACTTGGTATTCCTGGTTACGTGCAGTTCACCTCTCCTATTCGAAGATATGTTGATCTGCTAGCTCATTATCAGGTAAATATGCTTATAAATCAGGAAAAGTTTTATAGCATGCAAGAAATTTAGAAATTGTGCATTTTTACTTTGATGTCTCCAGCTTTCTGATAGTGTCATCAAATTCGTTATTTAATCATTGTACCTTGATCCAAAGAATATATCGACACTTTGACTTAATTTGAAATATTATGGGGAACTAAATTGTAGGTAAAAGCTTTTCTTAGAGGTGATTCTCCACCATATTCAGCTGGTGATCTAGAAGGAATGACATTTATTGCGAGCATGCATGTTAAAGTAGCTAGGAGGCTTCATAGCAACAGCTTGCGGTACTGGCTGTTGGAATACTTGAGGCGACAACCAAAGGGGAGGAAGTACAGAGCACTGATTCTGAAGTTTATCAAGGATCGTATGGGTGTAACACCCCATGTGTTTGTCACTAGTTAAGCTATGGGTTTGAGCTCAAACATGACAGATTAAGTGACGATGAAGATGTCAAGGTCAAACCTATGGAAATGAGCCCCAACCTAAACTCGGATATTGCACCCTTGCTTTACATATAGGCCCTTTTAAAGATATATGATTGGCTGGTGTTATTGGAATATCTTCATGTGTCTCACATCAATACCCATCTATATGGATCACTGGAAAAGTTTCATGAAGTTTGGAATCAAAAAGTCACATGAAATGATAAGCTATATCCTTATTGGAATGATTTTACTAAGTGCGTGAATTGCACTATTAAGTGAATGGAAATGTAGGTCATCAATCAAACCTTGCAACCTTGCCCAAATAATTCTAGATGAACTCTACAACAAAAGTTATAAAAGGTTCATGTTGAGCAAAAGTCAAGAAAATGCCTCAATCGGTCAATAACTCTAATATTTAAGCTTTACAGTGACGATACTTTGACCTATGTTGACCAACCACTTACAGTACTTGCATGGAGTTGCACCTTAAATAAAAGTTGAAGATTGAGTAGAGTAGAACAAACTTTGTTTTTGGAACAAGAGCCAGATCAACTTAGAACTAAGTCAAACAGAGGCTCGAAAAATTGAATCAGCGGCTGTTTTCAGACTTAGAATTTTTCTAAGTCTGGAATTCATCGTCGTCGCCATTGGCGTCTCGCGTTCTACGAAATTCGTTAAGCAACTTGAGTTGGTCCAAAAATAAAAGTTGAAGGTTATATTATGGAGAAGAGCATACAAAAAGTTGCACTGAGTTTGACCGAGTTTTGACCTCTGAAGGCGAGCTCCCGTGACTGTTATCAACACACTGACACTATCACTTTGGAGCCTAATTAACTGCTAATCCATTGCTCAAATGGCCATGGTCCGTTAATGAAATATGTAGAGCAAGCCAAGGTGAGCAAACTTTGTTTTTGGCCCAATGTCCAATTCGAACCCGAGCCGGCCCAAATCGGCTCCCCACCTTGCCTACTCTGCTGCCCGCCACGTGTTTTCAGTAAAACGCCCCAATGGGCGGCAAGCGTGTCGTGGCGTGTGCCGCCATGCATGTAGCGCACCGCCGCCTGCAGTAGCAGCGCCGCCGCTTGCCGCGTGGTGATACGCCTGCCGCGCGTCCCCGCGCCCTCTCGTAGTGAAAGCCGAGCGCCCGAGCTCCCCTCGGCTCTCTCTGGCGCTCCCTCGCGACGCCTCACCTCCTCCGCTCTGCTCCGTGTGGCGCCCCGCCATGGCCGCCATTGACGCCGAAGCGAAGCTCACGCCGCCGCCGCCGCTTTAGGCGTGGCTTCTCTCCTCCTCATTGCGGTGCCTAGGCACGGCCCGCCCACCGCCATATAACCCTAGCCGCCGCCGCCCTCTCGTTTCAGCAGCCGCCGTCACCGTCCCGTCGCCACGCCCCTGTTCGGTGTTTCGGCCGCCATGGGCGTCGGCGGCCGACCGACCCTTCCTTGCCGCCTGTGGGTCACCCATCGCCATGTCGCGCCACGCCGCCGCTTTTCCGCCATCACGCATGTGCCAAGACGAAGCAAGCACCACCACGGAGCCTGGCCGATCCATCGGTCCTCTGCGATGTGCGACGAAGAAGAAAGAAGGACTGTGCGAGCAAATAGAAGGTTGTCCAGGGGGTTAACTGAAGAAACAGTGACTCAGTTGAACAGTGCCTAAAAGGATCCATTTGTTCGTGTTTAATTTGTGTTTTCCGAAGGGACCTCGATGCAAGATTTCAATTTCCTTTTTCTCTGGTTTTTACAGATTTGAATGCTCCACTTTGAAAATTCGTAGTAATTTGTAGAAAAATCGTAAAATAGTAAATGAGGACTTTTTGGAATCCTTGTGAAATTCTCTGTGCACTAGATCTATAATATTACATGTTTTAGTTTAAAGGTTTACCTGTAAAAATAGATTTTGGCAGTTAGGTTCTTAATGCTAGTCATGTCTTGTCTTTTTGATAACTGCAATTATTTTACTCAAATAAATGTGAAATTTTTATGGAGTGTTACTGATGTGATTAGTGATGTCTGGTAAAAATTTTAATATTTTAGGCTTGATAGTTTAAGATCTATAAAAATAACAAATTACCTGTATTGCCTTACCCCTATTCTGAATAGGCCTGCAAGATTAAATTAATTGGCTTAGTTAGGTTATGAATCATGACTTTGTGATAATACATGAGTTGTAGTACTTTTATTAAGCTTTTCAAAAAGCTAAATATCATGATTTTTGGTTAAGTAGATCTTGAGTTATATTTGCTTAAATATCAATGGTTGTTTCTGCCCAAACTCTGACAGGGTTACCTTGTTGGTATTGTGGGGCCTTCTTAATAGTAGAATTAACTTTAGGTGTTTACAACAAAGTTGTATAGAATTTGATAAGCTTTCTAAAAAGTTTAGAACCACATTTATTGGACATGTATAACTCCAGTTATAGCTGTTTAAAGTGGCATGTCAGTTTCTGTCTATGTTTTGGACAGAGATGCAATTATTGAATTAATTGACCCTTCTAACTGTAGAATCATCTTAATATGAGAATAAGAAAGTTGTAGGTAACTTCCTAATATTTTCAAAAAGTTGTGGTTCATGTTTGTTGGAGGTCTAGAACTCCAGCTATGCTTCTCTGAAGTTCCTATCAGTTTTCTGTACCATTGCTGTTGGGTTGCATTTGCAGTTTTGCTTGTGCAATTATTGTCGTGGTGTAAATGATGTTTGCTATGGTTGTAGTGAATACAAAAGTTGTAGCAAATTTCATGATCTTGCTTGTGTTCAACTTATAAGGCCATAGGCCTGATAGTGTAGGAGTTATATGACTTTTAAGTCTTCTGTCAGGTTTTGATTGTATTCTGAGCAGATCTGAAATATGCTAGTGTTTGATCTGGTTAGGATTTGAATGAGCTTTTGGTGATAATAACAAAGTTGTAGATAATTCATGTATCTAGTTTCTGTTAAAATTTGGTAGTATTTGGTCTTGTGGTTTGTGAGTGATGCCTGTTTAAAGTTGGGCTTCAGAAATGGCTGTTCTCTGTCAATTGTGGACCAGTGTCTGTAAATGGGTATATTTGACTTAGTTAACTTGAGAATCATGCTTAGATGATTAAAAATGAATTGTATACAATTTCATAATCTTTCCAAAATGTCTTCTTACAAGTCATTTGGATTTGTGTAACTCTAGTTATAGCTAAATCTTGTAGCTGCTGTTTGTATGTCCAGAAATTGGCTGATTTCAATTATAGTGTTTGCTTGTATATTGCTAAGTGTGACTTATGCCTTGAATGATGACTGAGTTAGAGCATCTAAGATCTTAGAAAACTTGTGTCATGCTTGGTGTTGTCGTCTTCTTTGCCATCTTAGCATGATAGATTGTGTGATGTTTAAGTTAAGCATCACAAAGTATTTAAGTGTGTTAGTGTAAACTATGCTTGTCTTGCTTGCTATTTTGTGATGCGTCTCATGGTACTCTTCTTCATATTTATGCACTTGTATATTGCATCTCATCTAGGTACGCTAGATGCACCATGTGAAGGATGCGATGTTGGAGCCAAACCCGAAGATTTGGTTTGGTGGATATATCCCGAAGATGGAAGGACTAAGCAAGTGCTAGGACCGGAGATGTCACCATGACGGTGCAAGCTAACTGAACTGACTTGTGTCGGATCCCAGGCAAGCCCCGGAGCATATTAAGCCTCCTAATTTTCGAAATGCAGTTAAAGTATTATTGTTACATATATATATTGTTGCATTAAGTTTAGGTGTTGGATGCAAACACTTGCTGCATTGGTTATCCAATCCTTGTTTAGATATTGATACCCTGAATTCTATGTAGCTCAGGCTCGTGTAGTGCAAACGCGGTAGAAGTCAGGTGATTTCCTGTCACCTGCGAGATATAGGAATATACATATGGCACGGTTGGCTATATTTGCTATCGTGGAAAAGAACCTGTCTTAATTTGAAATGAAGATCGGGCGGAGGCTTGCCGGTTTGCAGTGACTCCGTCTATGTCGCTTAAGGACTGAATCTTGGAGTCTTTCCTGTTCATGTTGAACGCATGCCTCTCTCTTAGTTGGCCGTGTCTGAAGACCGACCACGAAGCCGAGTAGCTCACCTCAGGCCGGGAGTCGATAAGTATAAAGTGCGCCTCGGAAGGGAGCCGTAGGCGTGAGTCCAAGGGCAGGTGATTTAAAAGTCCTGATCGTCCTGGCAGAAGGGTTCCCAAAGGTGACCCACGGCTACCCTTGCAAAGTATGCCAGGGTGAGTTAGGAATACCCCCTCAGCTGAGTTGTAATTTGATTCGAGTCGCCGTCTCTCCCGGTTAGTGAGAACTTGACGGGCTTATCTACAAAGTAGATACACTAAATAACATAATGGATCGAAAATGATGATATGATGATGACAGCCTTATTATACCTGTTATGGTTAATATTGATTGCTCCTAATAAGTGAGTGCTCTAGTACAGGTGTAAATCTAGTGGACAGGTAAATGATGATAAACTTGATGCAAAGTTTAAATTGGTCACTATATTCATAAGCTCTTTTATGCAACTGTGTCCAGCTAGCCCACCTCATAAGCCTTGCATGACTCTTGGTGTCATTTGTTTTGGTTTTCGACGGGTAAGTCTGGCTGAGTACATTCGAGTACTCAGGGTTTATCCCACCATGTTGCAGGTGAAGTTCTTGGCCT